TTCCTGCCGGTTGCCGGGGAAACTACGGGCCGCCGAGAGCCCAATCTTCTTCGGCAGGCCGAGCCCGAGGCGGCGGGAGCATGCGCGGAGGGAGGCGGGAGGTCGGGGGGGCGCGGGGCCCCTCAGCGGCGCCCCGCCGCGGTGCCCGCGGGGGTAAGATGGCTGCCCGGACAGACCTGGGCGGGGCGGGGGGGGGCTTTCCCTCAGCATCGTCCTGCTGTGCTGGAGGCTGAGGTGGCGGGTCCGCCGGGCCAGCTTGGCCGCTGGGAAGTGCCGGGGAGCTGAGGCGCCGTCTTCAACTGATCAGAGTGCAGTGCTTGCTGAAGAGAGAGCGAAAATGAGATTAAAAGGCTGATTCTTTCTCAACCTGCCATGTGTGTTTGCGATTAGAATGGAGGTGGTAAACTTTCAGGTGACGTTGCCGCTCACTTTTATCCACTTTCTTAAGAGCTTCCCGGGGAAAACAGGATTTGGGGAACACTTTATTTTGCTGTCATTTTTTTGTGTGACAAAACGTTGGCTTTCAGGGACGGGGCCGCATTCCCATTTGTGATCATTTTTGTTTCAAATACAATGATAGGAAGTTAATTTTTAGTTTCTTTTTTTCAGATAACCCACTCGCACAATACTGAAATCTCTGACACAAGTACGGTATTTATTCATACACCATCACATCTGAACGTGGTAAACGAGCTTTTGGGTAAAAGGTTACATTTTTTTCCCCCGTGTGGACTCTATTGATGAGAGTGCTCTCTTCAAGAGATGTGTTTATTCTTTTATGCACTCAACGATGAATCTCCAAGCAAGGTGTTTTCTTGGTTTGCTTAAATTGGGATAGAATCTTTCCACCGTTGCGTTCTTTCTCACTTCTGTAATTTTTAACAAGGAACTAAATGGGACTTTAGAAGTGGACAAGAAAGGCTATTCTGTTGGTTTTCCACAAAACAAACAAACAAACAAAACAAAACAGGAAAATGCACTGACTGTGCTGAAAAGTAGTTGTCGACTATTTGAAAACTACCATTAGATTTTTTTGGTGGCATTTCATAATTAGTTTTATCCAAGATAAATAGTTTGTATCTGCCAATAATGGGAGGTTGTAAGTGAGGACATTTGCAAAGTTAAAATAGGGCTGCATAACTGAATGCCTTTGAAATGCATTAGTGCAAGAGACCTTTTGGAAATACAGAAAGAAAAAATGATAAAAATTATGCTGGAGAAGGGAAGATTTCTATTTTATTTTTAAGTGTTTTTAACTAAACCCAGCAGACATTACAGTATTTTCACAAAATTATTTTACTGCGCCACAGTACTGAAGGCAATAGAGGGATGGATGTCTTTTTATCCATAAATTTTAGAGGCTGGTAAATGATCTCAGAAAAATCCAATATTTGTAAAGCAGACCACGCAAGTCTTCAAAAACCACAGTACAAAATGCAAGCCAGCATGATCATCTCCAGAATGAGAAAAAAAGAACTGCTTTTCTAAGCAAGGTTTATTTTTAGTTCAGTGTTTTAGTATCATTTTATTCATGTATCTGCTATAGTTGCTTTGTGAGTACAGAACAGACTACAGCTACATTCAGGCGTGGAAGAAAGTAGTAGTACGATTCCTAAGTCAGTAGGAGGTATGAACTGCTGCGTTGCATGAAGCAAAATACCACTGATCAGCTCTGTGGAGTCAGCAGCTCCCACTGAGTTCCTGGAGGCACAGAAACGACTGGATTATAAAAGGGCAAGTAAGACTCCAGTTTCTGTGCAAGAGCAGGGCTTAGTTCAGAGTTCAGTCAGTTTCCTGAAAAATGCAAAATAAAAGAGTGTTATGGTACGGTGGTGTATATGGTACAACAGGAGTCCTGCTGTACTTTGAACATTGACTATACGGACTGCGCTGCTTGCCTTGCAGTCAGACGTGATGTGTGAAATCAGGGTCTGAGAGATACCCGCTGAATTGTGGATGTCTGATAGATGTGTGCCCCTCCATTTCATGTCTTGGGGCATTTCATCTCTTGAATTGAGAGAAATCTCTACGTACGGCTCTCAGGAAGTTGCCTTCATGCAAGGTTCTTTCAGCCATGAGGTCCTACCCAGGTGTGCTGGCCTGGCTTTGGTGCAGTCCCAGCACCAGCACATCCCTCCCCATACGAGGGCACTCAGCACAAGGCATCACTGCGTACATGCAGAGATACACCCTGGCCCTGTGCCCACGGCTGCAAGGCTTAAGCATCTGAGTGCTGGGAATGCGCCGGTCTTGGGTGGGCTCGACCCTCTCATGTGGGAGCTTAACTCTCCCACCCCTGTGGGAGGAATACAGACTAAAATCATCCTTAATTTCTAGAATAGGGTAGGATGAAACCACACCCTTGTAGATATCTTTTTCTAACTTGCATGATATTTTAAGAATTAGGAAAAGAGAAGTCCTAAGGTTAAACACACGTTCAGTCCCTTCTGATTGCTACAGTACAATCTTAAAATGGTTTTTATTACACTTTTCCTATGAATTTGCAGATCCCCTTCTCCTTGAGTAGCTTCCTCGTTATTATACATGGCCTTGGATTTTCTAAGATCTTGCTGAATATTGACATGGGGAATATGGGTCAAAATACTTGTAATAAAATGTGTTTGTTTAAAACAAAATACTTTTCACACTGTGTCCTGCTATTTTTGATAGTTGTAATAGGAACTAGTCTGTGACATTTTAAACATATTTGGTGGATGGACAATTTAGAAGGAAAAATACTGTAAGATCTGTACTGTGTATAGATCAACAAAACATGACAAATTTTAGCATTTTTCTCCATCATGATGATACGACTTTGTAGTCTTAAATATGGTGTCATGAGCTACTATTATTACTGTATACTTGTATAGCATTAGCTCCAGTTATGAGTTTCTCCATTATGTATTTTTTAGTTTGTTTTTTTTTTAATTTAACTGCCATAAACTTTTCTAAATGCTTGAAAATAACTAAAAGACAAAAATATGAATAATTTGCTGGGAGTTTTTATCATGAAAAGAAATGTGGTCACTTATATGTATGTGAGCGTGTTTAGGAGAGCATACAGAAATCTGAAAATGAAAGCTAATTCTGGACTCATTACTTATGTTTTCAGAATAACAATACTCAACCAATTTAAATAAAACCAATGATTAATTAATTTTCACTGCTGATAAAACCAATATGCAATATGACTTCTTTTTTCATTAGTCACAGTTAAATAGTTAATTACTGATGGGGAGGAGAATTCACCAAAGCAAAATGGATTCTGAGGGTTATGAAATTAAAACTGAGGCTTATTGGAATACAGCTAATTAAAAGAACATCACATAAAACAGTCACGTGTTAGATCTTTTTGTCTGACCATATTTATACCTTTGTTACACTAATTCATTTGGTATGGTTTAGGCTTGTCTTTTGGCCCGTGCCAGCTGGGAAATGGTGGGAAGAGTATTTCTTCACAAGTACAGACCTTTGAATGTGGAAGAAAGGGAGCTGGTGCTTGAATTTTTGTCATAATTTCATTAATTTACATTGTCAACATTTCCCTCTCTATTTGTAACAGCCTTTTTGTTAGACAGTAGGTGTTTTACACTGATTTATTTGCTGTATTTTGCTAAATACAAGAAAGGGATTACCAACAGACTTAAATATTGATTCCTTTTACATCTTGCTATATTCTTTAATATTCATCTACTAATATACAAGCTGATATATTTTTGTTTGAGATTATTTTACAAGTTTCTAAACAAGTGCAATTTTAACCCCAGTTGGGGGCTAACAACTCTTACAACCTAGTAAGAACAGTAAAAGAACAAAAAATGTTTTCTCAACTCAACATATTTGGTAATTCTTTTTATTTCTCCAGTAACTCTGAAAAATTAGAAATTCTTACCGGTCTCTCAGAAAGTGCACATGTAAAACTGAAGTCTCTAGGAGCATTTTCCTTAGATATTCTTCAAATATCGTTCCCCAGAGATTTTATCCTGACTTAACCACTCAACATGCTTTATAAATAGTGCTCCATAAAAGAGAAGTTAATTTACAGGGTTTGGCAATAAGTGTGAGCTACAGAACAGACTGTAGACACCTAATTATAGTTTTCGGGTTCCTCTGCAAAGATTTAGATGCTCCAGGTGCTTTCATTGACAAGTGCTGTATCAGATGATTAGTTCAGTGCCTGTCAGAAGTTGATGGCCCTGTGAATATTCCCTTATATCTTAAGTGAAAATTGGTGTGAAACAGTGCCATTTAAGCTGAACAATTGTAGATAACGGTCCACAGATACTACTGGATTGCTTAATTGTTTCTGTAATACACCAGAAATTACTTGATTGCCTATTGTTAAGTGCCAAATGGCTGTAACGATTTTGGATTAGCAGATCAAAGTCCTGTGTAAAACTCAGAGGCAAACTCACAAGCGGCAGACTGACCCCCAGGAATACTTTCAGGTTTTGATGTTGCAGAGTAACAAAAATGCCTACAGGTATGACATCAAATTTAGGAACTGATTGAGACTCTTAATGGGTATCATGGAGTACATAGGTCTCTACCATTAGTGTGCAGACATGGTGCTTTGGGTATGATTCTTGAACTAAAGTGCAAGGCAGAGCAAAATCAGGTAGTTGCATGGACAACTGCAGCTAAATTCCACACTAGGCTTTTTGATTGCTCTCAAGGATATCCTGCTGATCTGAAATAAATAGGAAATTCAGGTTTTTCATGAGTACCCGAGTGAGTTAGAGAAAGTTATGCCAAAACAGATACAGAGATACTAACTCATCACTGCTCCACTTCTCACTACTTATTGAAGTGTTTAGAGCAGCTCTGCCATGGTTTGGTTATACTTGTATTTATCTTGTACCCATGGCCATGCAAAAACAATGTTCCTCTCCCCTGTAGTTAGCTAGTACTAGCAGGAGCCAAAATACACCAGTTATACCCACCCATCAGTGAACTATACTAACTCAAAAATGAAATTAGGATTAAAATGAGATATCAGGATTTGGTTTTCTTTTCTGATTCTTCTGAATTTTCATATTGCCATCAATAATGGCAGTTTGAATTTGTTCTTTATTCTGGTGATGCTAATTGCTCAGGAAGGACAATTCATTCCATTGCCATCTCTCAGATGGTGGCACAATCACAGCTACGTCTGTAAACGTGCTTTGCTTATTTATGGAGAGAGATCCATACCCACTAGTACAGTCAAA